GCCCAGGAGTTCAAAACCAGCCTGGACAACAAAGGGAGAGAGAAATAAAAATTAGCTGGGTGTGGTGGTTCTTGCCTATAGTCCTAACTACTTGGGAGGCTGAGATGGGAGAATTGCTTGGGCCTGGGAAGTCGAGGCTGCAATGAGCTATGATGACGCCACTGCACTCTTTTTGAGAAACCCTGTGTCTCAAAACAACAAACAAACAAAAATCATACAGAGCCCATCTACACTACAATCACTTCTTACTAATGTCATTAGGAAAAAATTGATAGGGGACTCTGAAAGGAAGAAGTCAGGCTGCCAACACCTGAACCCACTAGTCATAAAAAAGACAACCAGCCAGGCATGGTGGCTCACACCTATCATCACAGCATTTTGGGAGGCTGAGGCGGGTAGATCACCTGAGGTCAGGAGTTCAAGACCAGCCTGGCCAATATGGCAAAAACCTGTCTCTACTAAAAACAAAAAAAATAGCTGGGTGTAGTGGCATATGCCTGTAGTCCCAGCTACTCGGGAAGCTGAGGCAAGAGAATCACTTGAATCTGTGAGGCAGAGGTTGCACCAAGCTGAGATCACGCCACTGCACTCCAGCATAGGTGACAGAGCAAGAATCTGTCTCAAATTAAAAAAAAAAAAAAACACAACCACACCTTACGTGCCTCTTGACGTGATGCAACTAAAAGAACGCAGCTTTGCCCAAGTAGTTGTGCCAAAAAGCTGAACCTAATCAGACTTAACCTCCAACCTCCAATTTATAAAAAATACAGAGACTAGAAGAACATGCTAAAGAACACCACAAGGATGCAAACAACCAAATCCAGAATGTGAGAAGTTCCACAGGACAATCCACCAGGGTTTTCCCAACAAATCTATATCAATGGGTGGGTGAGAGCAGAAAAGAGCATGCAAAGGGAGCAGCAGAGTTATAAAGAAAATTTCAAAGTCATATTACTAAATGCAGCATGTTAATCTTGTTAGAATGCTCATTCCAATCAACCAACTATAAAAAGGCAGTATGAACTGATAAGAATCTGGATATTAGATCATATTTAGTAGTTGTATTAATTTGGTGGAGGGTGTGATAATAGTAGGTGACTATATTATCTTTCCTTCTTTCTTTCTTTTTTTTTTTTTTGAGACAAGGTTTCACTCTATTGCCTAGGCTGGAGGGTGGTGGCATCGTCTTGGCTCACTGCAACCTCTGCCTCCACACCTGACTAATTTTTGTATCTTTTGTAGAGACAGGATTTCACCATGCTACCAGGCTGGTCTCAAATTCCTGGGTTCAAGCAATCTGCCCACTTCAGCCTCCCGAAGTGTTGAGATTATAGGTGTGAGCCACCATGTCCAGCCACATTATTTTTCTTAGAGATGCATAAGCATGTGTATTTAAATGATATGATGTCTGAGAGGCAATATCTTACCAGGATTAACCATATACTGGTAGTTACAGAAGCTGGGTGATGAGCATTTGAGGATTTTTTTATATGGTTCTATTTTTTAATGTGCTGGAAATTTTCCATAAAAGTTTTCTTCCCCTAGACTTATTAAGGTATAATAAACAAATAAAAATTGCATGTTTGTAGTATACAATGTGATGTTTTGATTTATTGACATTCATTGTCAACAAAATAAAAATTTTAAATAAATGTATAGATTCTAGAATTCCCAGAACAATAGAGGAATCTACTGAAAACATCTAATTTTCAGGCATAAGTAAGAGAAAATATTTACCAACTCATCCGCCAAGACACACTGAAGATAACCTGTACCATCTCGCAATACCAGAAACATTAAATTCTTTCCTAAAAATGAGAAATAACAATTTAGGCAGACTGTTCTCAAAGCACCAAATTTTTTATGTATGTATATATATATATATAAAAAAAAATAATTTTAAAGATAGGGTCTCACTTTGTCACTCAGGCTAGAGTGCAGCGGCACAATCACAGCTCACAGCAGCCTCCTGGGCTCCAGCAAACCTCTCACCTTATCCTCCCAGATAGCTGGGACTACAGGCACATGCCACCACACCTGGCTAATTATTTTGTAGTGACAGAGGTCTCACTGTGTTGCCCAGACTGGTCTCAAGCTCCTGGGCTCAAGCAGTCCTCCTACCTCAGGCTCCCAAAGTGCTGAGATTACAGGTATGAGCCATTGCACCCAGCCATGACTTAATCTTATCTAAAGGAAACTCCAAGGTTAAACACTGAAGTTCAGACCTCCCACATGGCTCCCTACCCGTGAAGTAACCACTGGTAATACCACTACTCAGTATTTGTAAAATATTTTATTTTCAGTGTTTTAGACTTTCAAATCCTACATGATCCCCAAGATCCATACAACCAGGGGAAAGCAAGACAGAAGGCAACATGAGTTAAGGCATTACGCCTTATCCACCCTTGAATCCCCTGCAATGTCTGGTGTAGTACTGTGCACTCAGTGGGTGATGCATAAATGTTCTTGAACAAAATCACTTTTTCTTATTTATGTCTCAAAGGTCCATTACTGAAATCTACTTAAAACATTTCATTTGTATTTTTTGTCCCCTCCTGACCGCTTTTTTTTTTCAGAGGGAGTTTCGCTTTTGTTGCCCAGGCTGGAGTACAATGGCATGATCTCAGCTCACTGCAACCTCCACCTCCCAGCTTCAACTGCTTCTCCTGCCTCAGCCTCTCGAGTAGCTGGGATTACAGGTTCCCACAACCACACCCGGCTAATTTTTGTATTTTTAGTAGAGACAAGGTTTCACCATGTTGGCCAGGCTGGTTTTGAGCTCCTGACCTCAGGCAATCCACCTACCT